ACAAGCTTCCAGGCGGAAGTTCGAGCAATAACGGAATGTTTAAATTGGATTAGAATAAATATGGCGAAGTTCGAGTAATAATTAGATTTAACTGAATACTTTCCCAGAGGTAAGGTTTACATCATATGGGTGCCAGGCCACTCGGGGGTAGCTGGCAACGAAAGGACGAATGTAATAGCTTTAAAGAGAAGGGAGCTCGAGGAAGCTGAATTACAAATATGGGTGAGAGAATCTCATAAGGCCTCTTGGAATAATGAAACGGTGGTAGAATGATCAGGTGACCCTGATACGAGAAAGACGAAAAATCTCCTCAAATCTGAGTTGAAACTCAGGAGTACTTTCTTTGCCACTGATTGGAAAATTCTTAGGAATTACGTCCAGGAAACTGAGTTTCTGAACATTGAATAATAATACATTCAGTGAACAATTTTGATTTTTTTCATGAAAAGGAGAGCACAACAGGCCCGTTAGTGGCCTAGGTGTATCTTCGGATTTGATGTAGTAAACATATTTCTATTATTGCGATTTGAGAATTTTTGCCCTAAAGTTAAATTTTACATAAATGTAAGTTTTTTGGATGCCATAAAATTTTATATCAAAAGTTTAAAATTTGTTCTCATATAAAATATTTCGTGTAGAGTTAGCTCTTTATAAACCTTTATAAAAAGTTTTTAGATACATAACTTTTTGAAATTGGAGCACAAACGAAGAAACAATATCGTTTTATTAACATACTCGAGCTGTCCCACTTAGCGTCCCCTTGACATCTCCCCTGGAGCGCCTATGAGTTCCAAATTCAAAACCAAAACTCGACTATACTTTCTCTTTATGCATGTGAAATTTCATTAAAATCAGACAAACCGTTAGAAGTTATTCCCTGGATTCGCGAAGAAATTGGTCATAAATATATGTATATGGTTTAAGTCAGTACATTATTCCGAAAATGAATTTATTGATGAAAAACTAGTTTTTATTACGAAATATGGACGTTAAAGCTATTATTTGAGGCACGTCGAAAAAGGTTCCTCACTGACTATAATTAATAGGTAAAACGTGAATATGTCGTGTAAATAATATTCGGCATAGCCGAATAACAAAATAATAGTACATGTTAACAATAGAAACAACAATAGCGCATGCAACAACAATAACAAGAAGAATTTTGGTGCAAAAGAATTTTCTGGTAAATATGGAAGATCTGACACTTTAAATTGACATTCTTGAGCATGAACAACAGAAGTGAATCTATAGACTAAATAAAAAAAAAATTGTGTACGACTACATACCTGGGTAATTTTATGACATTTTCTTTATTTTTTTCTCTATTCTTCTATTATTGTTGTTTTGTTTAACATGTTCATTTACCAAATATTGAAATATTGTAAACAGATATATACGTATGCATATCGAATGGCTCTTAAGAAATCATGCAAAAATAATAAAAAAATTAAGGTTAATAAGCTACAAGACCATAAACATAAGGAGGTAAGGTGGATTTTGTTGTTATCTTGTTTTAAAAAATAATTACTTTTGTGCTCTACTTTTATTTTCTTTTTTAAAGTATTATTATAGTTGACAAATATTTGTTTAAACATGTTAGATTAATGTTATTTTAAAATGTTTCTTTTACAATTATGTTTTATTTTTGTTAGTTAGTTAGTTAGTTAGTTAGTCAGTAGTTAGTTAGTTAGTAGTTAGTTAGTTAGTTAGTTAGTTAGTTAGTAGTTAGTTAGTAGTTAGTTAGTTAGTTAGTTAGTTAGTTAGTTAGTTATGTTAGTTAGTTAGTTAGTTAGTTAGTAGTTAGTTAGTTAGTTAGTTAGTCTGTTAGTAGTTAGTTAGTTAGTTAGTTCGTTAGTTAGTTAGTTAGTTAGTTAGTTAGTTAGTTAGTTAGTTAGTTAGTTAGTTAGTTAAGTTAGTAGTTAGTAGTTAGTTAGTTAGTAGTTAGTTAGTTGTAGTTAGTTAGTTAGTTCGTTAGTTAGTTAGTTAGTTAGTTAGTTAGTTAGTTAGTTAGTTAGTTAGTTAGTTAGTTAGTTAGTTAGTTAGTAGTTAGTTAGTTAGTTAGTTAGTTAGTTAGTTAGTTAGTTAGTTAGTTAGTTAGTTAGTAGTTAGTTAGTTAGTTAGTTAGTTAGTTAGTTAGTTAGTTAGTTAGTTAGTTAGTTAGTTAGTTAGTTAGTTAGTTAGTAGTTAGTTAGTTAGTTAGTTAGTTAGTTAGTTAGTTAGTTAGTTAGTTAGTTAGTTAGTTAGTTAGTTAGTTAGTTAGTTGTTAGTAGTTAGTCGTTAGTTAGTTAGTTAGTTAGTTAGTTAGTTAGTTAGTTAGTTAGTTAGTTAGTTAGTTAGTTAGTTAGTTAGTTAGTTAGTTAGTTAGTTAGTTAGTTAGTTAGTTAGTTAGTTAGTTAGTTAGTTAGTTAGTTAGTTAGTTAGTTAGTTAGTTAGTTAGTTAGTTAGTTAGTTAGTTAGTTAGTTAGTTAGTTAGTTAGTTAGTTAGTTAGTTAGTTAGTTAGTTAGTTAGTTAGTTAGTTAGTTAGTTAGTTAGTTAGTTAGTTAGTTAGTTAGTTAGTTAGTTAGTTAGTTAGTTAGTTAGTTAGTTAGTTAGTTAGTTAGTTAGTTAGTTAGTTAGTTAGTTAGTTAGTTAGTTAGTTAGTTAGTTAGTTAGTTAGTTAGTTAGTTAGTTAGTTAGTTAGTTAGTTAGTTAGTTAGTAGTTAGTAGTTAGTTAGTTAGTTAGTTAGTTAGTTAGTTAGTTAGTTAGTTAGTTAGTTAGTTAGTTAGTTAGTTAGTTAGTTAGTTAGTTAGTTAGTTAGTTAGTTAGTTAGTTAGTTAGTTAGTTAGTTAGTTAGTTAGTTAGTTAGTTAGTTAGTTAGTTAGTTAGTTAGTTAGTTAGTTAGTTAGTTAGTTAGTAGTTAGTTAGTTAGTTAGTTAGTTAGTTAGTTAGTTAGTTAGTTAGTTAGTTAGTTAGTTAGTTAGTTAGTTAGTTAGTTAGTTAGTTAGTTAGTTAGTTAGTTAGTTAGTTAGTTAGTTAGTTAGTTAGTTAGTTAGTAGTTAGTTAGTTAGTTAGTTAGTTAGTTAGTTAGTTAGTTAGTTAGTTAGTTAGTTAGTTAGTTAGTAGTTAGTTAGTTAGTTAGTTAGTTAGTTAGTAGTTAGTTAGTTAGTTAGTTAGTTAGTTAGTAGTTAGTTAGTTAGTTAGTTAGTTAGTTAGTAGTTAGTTAGTTAGTTAGTTAGTTAGTTAGTTAGTAGTTAGTTAGTTAGTAGTTAGTTAGTTAGTTAGTTAGTTAGTAGTTAGTTAGTTAGTTAGTTAGTTAGTTAGTTAGTTAGTTAGTTAGTTAGTTAGTTAGTTAGTTAGTTAGTTAGTTAGTTAGTTAGTTAGTTAGTTAGTTAGTTAGTTAGTTAGTTAGTTAGTTAGTTAGTTAGTTAGTTAGTTAGTTAGTTAGTTAGTTAGTTAGTTAGTTAGTTAGTTAGTTAGTTAGTTAGTTAGTTAGTTAGTTAGTTAGTTAGTTAGTTAGTTAGTTAGTTAGTTAGTTAGTTAGTTAGTTAGTTAGTTAGTTAGTTAGTTAGTTAGTTAGTTAGTTATGCCTCTCCTCGATCACACATATCACACTTATTGAAATGTTCTGCCTCGCTCTATCAAATTCACTTAACATCGGTCTATAATTGTCCAGGTATATGTCAAATTTACGAAGCATCAAGATGCAGATAATCAGACGCAAATATACATATCATAAAGTTTAATGTAGCATTCTCGCTGTTGCGATAGCATTTTATCTAATTTCGAAATTTTGATTTATAACCAGAGACATTAGATGTGGAGAAAATACATGAATTTTTGGTTCATTAAAATACAAATTATATTCTAATCTAATTTACCGAGCAGGGTGACGATAGCCTGTTGTAGTTAAGCAGACTAGAGTCTCTGGTGGGAATTGAACACACATCCCCTAGACCAACTTGCCAGGGCACCCAAAACATATGTATATATTTTTGTACAGAATGCAAATGTTCTTCTCCTGATATATCCAAAATACAAAATAAGAAGTCATTCATGTCTTCTTTGGAAATTGTTTTATATCTTCGTGATTTATGCACCGATTTTTAAACAGAAAACTTCTTGAAAGCATGTCATATTCAAGACTTGAATGTCGAAGAGATCTGGCTTCTTTAGATTTGGTTTTAATATACGTATGGACATTTTTGGAAAGATTTATTATTCGGACTATTTCCTCAATAATGCTTAGTATTGCAACATGTGGCCGAACTTTTACGGCTTTACGCCTGGTGGTATATGATAGTTTCACAGAAATCAATAGTATATGGTACAACATTACATAGGGAATGGGCTGCTTCTGATCACACCAAATACGGAGTATTACCTTGGCGCAATACATACTCGCCCGGGGCTTCTTGTGCATCTTTTTTGTACAGATTTTCTATTGGGATTTTTTAAAATATAAATTTAAAAATAATTATTAAAACATAAATTCCATAAATTAAGAGTATGCACAACTGTTATAAATCCTAAATTCTCTTAAAAACAAAATATCTCTTGTATTTTATGCTCAACAGCAACCATGACCACACGTAACCGCTTTTTTTGTGTGTCAACATAAATCGAAATTCGAATAACGCTATACTTGCCTTCTCAAATTATTTACTCTCTCTCTTTGTTCTCTATAGTATAACGAATATATTTGTTGTCGGCTTTTTATGTACACATTCGAATTTCGAATATTATGTTGTTTGTGAAGGAAAAACTTAAAAGAAACAACAAACGATACATAATTATTTTTACTCGCAATAAGTGCTTCGAAAACATGTCGAATGCAAACGAATTTCGAAAGGTAAAAGAAGACTTTAACGAAGTTGTTTTCGAGACAAGGCTTTTTCTCAGCAATAGAGTTCGTTTCCATAATATCGTGCTATTTTTGTTGTAGTTTTTAAACATTTTCCCATTACTACGTTGGGTAATTTTCGTAAAATGGTTAAAAGTAGTTGTAGTTTTGTCAGTAGATGTATTACGAACGTCGTATTTAACGGTACGTGTTGTGGAATTGTATGCGTAATGTTGTGAATTTATTTTTGCTTAAATTTTGCCAAAATTTTTCTATAAAAAAAGCAGAAAATTAAAAAGAAATTGTAAATGAAATATTAATATTATTTCTATTAATAAAAAAATTAAAAGAAATGTGAAAAATCTATTATAAAATATAATTAAAAAATTATAAAGTTCAAAAGAAATAGTAAATAATATTTATACTTATACAAGTTAGAAAAAATTATGTTGATTGTAACCTTAAGTGTTTAGTTTAGTTTAAAGCATCTTTAAAACATCAGCAACTTCGGGGAAAACGAAAAGTGATTTTTCTTATACTTATACCAACAGCTGAGCAAGTAAATATTACCGAATCCAAAACATTTAACAATTGAATTTTTTTGCTTTAGTTATCTGCTGTCTCAATATGTATAAAACTAGAAATAAACTCTTTCAGTTTTTAAATGTTTTTGTTTAGTTGAAACTCGTGTAAACTTACTTTTGCTGACAGTGCTATTTTTCATTAAATTCTTCCTAATGTTTTGTCTTTAAATTGATGTTGCTTGCTACAATATACATACATTTAGTGTTTTTTTGTTATTTTGCTAATGTTTCTTTAGCTATTTTCTTATATTTTTTTACTAGTTATATGTGTATATGTATGTATATAAAATTGAAGCTAATAGTGTGTATATATAAGTAGCTACGTGTATATAACCTAGTTTTTTTTCTCAATACTTTTTTCTTTCCTGTTTTCAAACATACGCTTTTATATATTGATGGCTCCTCCAAACGAAAACAAGTTAAAAAGGTACTTGTACACATCATCTTCTTCATCATCGTTATCAATATCATCATTATCAATCCTGTCGTCGTCTCTGTCATCAGCTCAAGTCAGTTTCTTACTTTTACCCGTCTGCCATCATCATCATTATCATCGACATCACCAACAAATACATTAATTCACTATTAAATATTGTCTACTGGTTTTTGCTTTTTGGAAAAGTATACTTATACGCTGTGTAAGGAAACTATACAAAGTACATACTTAGCTGTATAGGTTGACGCTGATGGCAGACTTTTATCTCTTGTTACCAGACCTTTCAATAAAAATATATTTATTCATTAATTTTATTGAAATGTATTTTTAAATCACTTCAATTTATTTCGGTTACTGTTGAAATTCTTCTTGTCGTGGTTGAAAGTTTTAATAGAAGTACTGATGTATTAAAAAAGTATTTATTTATACTACTTACCATAATAATTGGTTCTATAGTGCTAAAAAGAGAAAAATGTATAATTTTCCACAACTCAGTCGAGTATGTTGTCTGAAAAGTAAACATTTTTGTTATTAAAATAAATATCTTGAAGTTATTAAGTAGCTTGTATTATAGAAATAGCTATTAATATTTTAATATTTGATTATACGGGAAATAAACACAAATTATTTAAATTTTTACACTTTTGTATTTTAAAATTATTAGTTCAGATCTGTTCATGAAAGCTCCCAAGGAGTTTGAAGGATTTTTTTTTAAATATTATTTTGTATTGAAAATGTGTAATATTGTAACACAATGTTATATAGCACCCATAAAAGTGCTCTCCTCCGGCATACAGTTTAAACTATCATGAACATACAGTATAAAAAACCATGTAATTACTATGTAATGTATGTGATTGTCTATGAAGTTGGGCTGTTAACCGATTAAAGTAAAGATTTTTATTTTGCTGGAATACACAATCAATGACAATTTTATTATCTTAAAAGTTTTGCATTATTTTTATATCTATTATAAAAATACACGCTGTAATTTTCTTATCTGCGAAAATTAAATAATTTAGGAACCCACAAAATATTTATTGCAAACATTGTTCCATATGGCGTATGAGTGTTAAAAATATTTCATGAAGAAATTTATCATACGCACCAGTTTAATACACAGATTGTTATTGAATTTTTCGGTTGTTGTTTGAAATCTGTTATTTTGTTAATTAATTATTCGTAGTTGTATCCTTTATCGGATAACTTTAAATTTTAGAATATTCAAGACAAGTAATATGTGAAAAACTTAATATTCTTTATGATCTTATGGATTAAAAAATTATGAAATAAGAAAATAGCATATTTACGTGAAAAGGCTATTATATATGTTTGTCATTCCGTTTGTAATTTCTACAATATATTTTCCGAACCTATAAAGTATATAACGCTCATTAAATAATTTAGGAACCAACAAAACATTGTTCCATATGGCGTATGAGTGTTAAAATATTTCATAATGAAATATATATTTATCATACGCCCAAGTTTAATACAAGGATTGTTATTGAATTTTTCGGGTGTTGTTTGAAATTTGTTATTTTTAATTAATTAATTAATTATTTGTAGTTGTATATTTATCGGTTAAATTTAAACTTTTGTATATTAAAATCAATTAATATGTGAAAATCTCAATATGATCTTATATATATTATGAATTAAAAAAAATTTATAAAATTAAAAAATTGCATAATTTACATGAGAAAGGTATTATATATAAGTTTGTCATTCCGTTTGTAATTTCTAAAATGTAATTTTTCTACCATATAAACTATATCGTTAATTTACCACAAGACTGGCAAATCCAAAATGAAATGAGGGTTATGAAACACATTAACCTCTTCTCTTTAGATGTGGATTATGTTTTAAATCCCTTGAATTTACTTAAAAAATAGTAAAATGTCATTTGGATTTTGCCAGTCTTTCAGTAAATGAGATATGAGCAAATATTCAAGACAATTTTTGAAATTTTAATTAAAAAAAGAACACGTTACTTATGAAGCTGTGTGGTGTTATTGTCAAAATCAGGATTGGAAAATTTTGAGGAAAATTAAACAGGGATGGAAAAAGATTAAAAAAAATAAAAAAATTGTAGTTTTTTATTAGTATTGGAATTTTCATAGATAAATACAAATAGTGTTGTTTTGCATTTAGACTAATCGAAGCCACAAAACTCTAATCTTCATTAACTTAAATAATTATACCCTACACCACTATAGTGGGGAGGGTAGTATGCGTTTGTGCTGATGTTTATAACACCCAAAAATATTGATCATACACCCGCCTTAAAGTAACCCGCCTATAACAGAATCAGAATTACTTTCTGAGTCGATTAACTTTCCGTCTGTCCATCCGCCTGTGTGTCCATGTAAACCTTGTGCACACTCGACAGTTCGCAATTTTTAAAATAATTTGATAAAATTTGGCATGTATGCCTCTTTTGGTTCAAGGACGTATTCTATTGAAAATGGTTGAAATCGGTCCATTATTTCACCTAGGACCCATACAACCGGACCCCTCGAATAGAGCTTTTGATCTCATGAAAATTGGAAAAACTTAGTTTTATATATGTCTAAAGAATACTGCCGATTGTAATGATCGGGCCTTATTTGACCCTAGTCCCTTAGAAAGTCCCCTTCAGAGAATTGTACACAATTCACTAAAAACACTAGTTTCTCGATATGATTCGGCACAAATAACTTTTATATAAACATAAATTCCACCAATAAATTTTATAAGGATCGGCTCAATTTTTGCCGTAGCCCCGATACAAACGGGCCCTCTGATTTGTACCTTTTAGCTCATAACTACGACAAATATACTACAAATATACGGAACAACTAAGTCTTATATAAGCATAAATAACTTTTTTATAAATCCCACAAATAAATTTTATAAAGATCGGACCAATTTTTTCCCTGACCACCATACACATTTAATATTCGTAATTGGTGTTGGGTATCATATGATCGGCCACGCCCGACTATAGTTTCTTACTTGTTTTTGTATACGATTTAACCATTCGTTAGCGGTAACAAAAATGTTGTTTGTTTTAATATTAAATTCTTTAGTTAATGCATTTTAGGCTGATGTCAGAGTGCCTTCTACAAGCGATGCGAAGCTTTGCGCTACAAACTTTTGCTTGTGTTTTCTCACACAAGGAAAGGTTTGTAGCGTAAAGCTTCGCATTGCTTGTAGCAGGCACTCTGACATCAGCCTTAAGAATAGTAATGGGTGTAGAAAGAAGGCACATTTGTTGAGTAGAACAGTTTTGCCTTTCATTAGGATTTCATAAAGAGACACTTTTTTTCCCGGATGCAATTGCTCCTAACTTTGCTGTATGTTGTATTTTTGATTCTTTCCTATATAGCCGGTCTTCAATAGGGGTTTAACTGTAGACATTATGACACTTTGAGGTGAGTCGTATTATGATATTGTTGAAAATAGAAATAATTTTCATTTCATTAATATAAAAAGTTTTAAGAAAATTTCATTCCTTTAACCCCTCTCTTCTGATCGTTATCGCACGTACTATATTAGGTTGAAGAATTGTTACCTTCAGATGGATAATTATAAAATATAATATTATAGTGGGGAGGATCAATTACTTAATGATCGTAATGATTCATTTAATTCCAGCATACATACAAAGTTTCCTTTAGGAAATCCATCCATCCAACAAGTTTTATGCATGGGTATCTGTCTATATTTTTGTCCCTAGCTTCTTTCAGAAAATAAATGTACAAGTTAATGACCGAATTCAGAAAGAAGAATAGAAAACCATTTTTAAAATTTTGTTAGAATTTTTCATATAAAATTTTAAATATTGTTTTACATTCTTCTTTCTGAATACGGGCCTTAGTTTTATAGTCATAACTGGTGAAGGGTATTTATGGTAGTTTTTAAATTTTTTTTCAATCAATTTTAAATTTAGATTTAGGAAAAGAAAATTTGTTTAAAACAAAAAGTTAATTTAAAGTTTGAAAAACTAATAATTATTATTGAAATTAGGTTTGATTGATATTAAGAATGTAATAAATCGGTTTACAATCTATATCAATAAATTCAGTAGTAACATTCTAGTCCCCACTTTAATGAGTAATACTACGTTAATATTAAAAAAAATACATTTTTTTTATAAATTGCACATAAAAAACATGAGTAATGACAAACAATAATTTATAACACTAATCAAAAACTTTCAACAAACATTAATTTAAGTACTTATATTAAGAAATACTTTCGCATTTAACTACACATACGTTGGTTACGAAAAAAATGGGTCTTGTTTCAACATATGTATGTAAATACTTACCATGCAATTTTTGTTTGTTTTAATAATAACCATTTTCTTTTTTTTTTTTTGTTTCTTCTTAAGCTTTATTTTATATATTTTTTCATGGTGGTTTTAAGGCAACTTTAACGTTCAAGTTGATTTTTCATGGGACTTTGAATGTTTTGTTTTTCAGATTTGTTTTTATGTAGTTCGCTTGTTGTACAACTCCTGCCTTTTGTTTATCTACTTTTAAGTTAAATCTT